CAAGAGGGACCACAAGTTTGAAGATGCATTTGCAGTCAAAAACCTGGCTGCAATGGGAATTTATCATCCACTAGGAAGGTGTCTCAGCCAGAAGGGCAAACTGCAATATATATATATGGCAGAGTGCTAAATCCAACAGTGGGCAGCATCTGGAAATGCACATCAGGTTTGGAGTAGGAGCCTCAAATGCCACGAATCACCAGAGATGGGCAATAATCTTTGTCTGCTGTACTCATGCTAGTCCACAAGTGTACAGACTGGGATGAACATATTTATAAAGCAAAATACCATGAAGTATACCTACGAGCTGTCCTGCAGAACATCCTATCTTAATGGTGGGCATAACATGACCTAGATAAGTGTTATGACATTGTATTTTCAAAGCATAGAGAACACATTGACGGAGTCAATCAACCAACACCTGGCAGCATCTGGAATGGTAAATTGGGTCTGTGGTAGGAAGAGTCTGAACATCACAGTCATCTAGCATGTTCCCAGATCATACAGTGCAGATTTAAGACTAAATATACATGATCAGGCAACATTTGCTACAAAGTTGGATCCAAATATGCAATAAAAGCCCCTGCAAAGAAAAATGAAAGGAGTAACTAAAATCTCAGACAAACAGTTAAAGCACTGATGATGTCCTCCAAGGGAAGATGGAAATATGCAGCCACGAACATGGTAAGATGACAGATCTGATGGGAAGAAAACATGAAAAAGGCAACAACCATTAGGAGAATTGAAGAAAATGCTAGGAGAATGAACAGGTAAATTCAACCCAGAAGGGTAATGGAAAAAGGTCACAGAAGAGGTGAGGATTCCATGGGAGAAACAAACGAACTCAGGAATCATAGAAGGGAGAAGTACATGCCACATACCCTCAGAGAGTGCTGACTGGGTAAAGGAGGTGGGTGGGATTGGAACAGTCATAAAGGTGGGAAAATGTATTTGACTTATTGGGGTCTGATCCCCACTAAGGGAGAAGTGACAACAAATGCTGCAAGTTGAAATAAGGGAAGTTGGAATGACAATAATCAAAAGCATGATCATCCACAGTACGTGAGGGTTGAGGCATACTGACCCTGGAAAGCAAATACCCCCTAAAATGCCTTGCATGAACCCCAATATCCAGGGGAGGAGGAAATAATAAATAATGACTCAAAGGCTCGTCCACAAGAAGGGCAGGAGTGAAACATAGAAAATGGGAGATACGTACAGAACAGAACATACCTTAATAACAAATCTACCAAAGGGAAAAGAGGTTTGGGCAAGTCCCCCAAAATGACATGTGACTAAGAGGCATATTTAAGAGTAGAAAAAAAAGCTGTCCAAATCCAAAATGAAAATATCACTAAAATCTTTTTGAGGACAATTATTGGTGTGTTCTGATTGTTGGATGAAATTGGTTAACTCCAAATGGACCAGAGCCGTCACTTTGTGGACCAAGGATCATGGTTTCATCCCGTTGGATGTGGTCAGTAATTCTGCTACCGCAGTAAGAGCAATTGTAGTCATAACCACCCAAAAATGTGAGTGTATAACTCCAGAAATTGAAAGAAGGGAGAAGAGAAAATCTAATAAATTGTAACTCTCCAACAAACAGAACAAAAACGTATGGATAGATTAACTAAACTGAAAGCAAAAAATTGTCTAATCCATAGGACTGCCAACTGATGGGTGATTAACATGTGCAATGATTGGAAAGAGCACTAGTTCTGATTGGGGTAGTGTTGCACTCCTATTGGTGGAGGGTTGCTGCATGATCATTTGCATGTTAGTAAGCAGTAATAAGTGGAAGTAGAATGGCTAGTGGGGGGATCATAAGTTTGTGCCAGCAGAGTGCACTAGAAGTCAAGAAAGCATTTTGTCAGGGAGGTAAGATATTGTATCAGAAGTACTTCTGAAAGTTTCTACTTCTAATCTTTCCACATCTATTTTACTGTTAGTGGCTGAAGTAGAAACTTATCAAACATAAGGCAATGAATCACTGCTCCTACAAATAAACTTTCTGTGACACTGTAATAAAATGCCATTGATAGCAAACAAGCAAGTTCAGCACAACAAACCAAGATTCACACAGAGTTTATCATAATCCTGGCTCCCAGAACACAGTGGGAGAGGATTTAACAGCTTGTTCACAGTACAGTGGTTGCAAGGAGAATTGGCTAAGGTGATAAAAATAGACGAAAATTTTTATGATATGGTTCTGTACATAATCTGGGTCAATCCAATAAATTTTGTAGGTATTTGGATGTTAGTTATCCTCCTAAGGTGGTTGGAATTTAGCTGTATATAAGTGGATAAAGTGTGTAAATGTTTATGAACCTGTATATATATTATTACTATTTACTCATAAATGCTTAATTTGTAGTTATTTTTCTTAAAACACAGAACAATAAATAAAAAAATATAGGAAAACAATGATTCCTATTATTTATGACGTTACAAAATTGATAAGCACTCATGAGCTGTACTTGTTATGTCTCACCATAAGTTTTGTTTATTCTCTCATGTAGAAGGGGAAAACATTTTTTGTAGATTTCAAAGATGCATTTTAGAAAACCAAAAAAATTATCACATCACTGTATTGGTGAACATATAATCATTGTAATTTATCTGGCTTTCTACCTATGTGGGTTAAAAACATCTTACTTCTGTTCAGAGCAACAACTTTTCTAATAAAACTCCAACTTTCCCCTTCAAGACAATTACAAATGACTGTCAGATTTATGTAGTTTGGAATGTGCTCTTTCTATTGGTTATAAAATGTACTTAAGAGAAGTAGTTGTGAACAGACAACAAGTTTCAAAAGAATGAAGTAGTCGGAGGGGCTATTCTGGTGAGTTTACTAAATATTTTGATATCTCAGCAAATCAAAAAAGTAGGAAGTTCTTATTTTATATTCTGGCTTGTCAATATCAGAAATTTGAGTTTCTAATTTGTTAACTACTACATACATTGTATGGTAAGTGGAATATAAAATAAACTGATGAATAAGACAAAAGAACATACAATGTGATGCACAAAAGAAAATATTTAACATTTTCTTTCAAATTAAGAAACTTAAATGTTTATAATACTAAAAGTTGAATTATAAACTACACTTTGATGCCATTTTGTCGACATATATCTATAATAATAAAAGCACATGTCTGTTATCTATGTGACCACCATAGCTTCAAGAGGACAGAACATAGAAAACTGAAATTTTGTACCCATACTAAGTGGACCCTAAGGGTGTAGAACTGGGTATTATTATTTAACCATGTGCTTGTGTGCATCTTTTTATGAGGCAAGCTAGCAAAGAACAACACAGAAAAGAATATGTGACCACTATAGCTCCAAGAGCAAAGAACCTAGATACCTAAAATTTTGCACTCATACTTAGTGAACCCTGAGGGTGTGCATCTGGGTATACTTATTTTATGCACTTGTGTAAACATCTTTTTAATGAGGCAAG